TTAAAAAACTACCTAGTTTCATTTTGACCATAGATCAAGAAAAGGCGTTTGACAAAGTCGATCGTGCGTTTCTGCTGCAAATTCTCCAAAAATTTAATCTCGGAGAAAATTTTGTACCCTTTATTAACACCTTGTATTCAGACGTTTCGGCAACTGTTCTGAATTGCGGCTTCCTGTCGACCACCTTTCTTACAGAAAGGGGTGTTAGACAAGGCGACCCTCTCTCTCTTTTGTTATACATTTTTGTCGCCGAAGCTTTGGCTTTGGTGATAAGAGCGGACAGCAGAATAAAGGGTTTTCCTATACCGGGAGCACAAAAGCCTCTAAAACTACAGCAGTACGCAGGCGATTCGAACTTTTTTGCCAAGGACGTAAAATGTGTCCGCTATTTCTTTGAAAACATAAAAATCTTCGAAAAAGCAAGTGGTTCAGTGATCAACGCCTCAAAAACCAAGGGTCTCGCTCTTGGGGGTTTTGATCCCGAAATTTACAGGGAATTGGATAACATAGAGTGGAACGACGACACCGGTTTTAAAATTTTAGGTGTTACCTTTTATACCAGATTGAGCAATACTACCAATTTCAACTGGCAAGTAGCTCTTAAGAAAATAGAGAAAAAGCTCAAGTTTCTGGGACTGCGTACTTTGTCACTTAGAGGAAAGGCTAATTTGATAAATACGCTAGCAATGTCAAAAGTGTGGTTTCTAGCAAACGTGTTGCCCACTCCAGATTGGGTAATAGAGCGTTTGCATAGGGCCATTTTCCAAAATCTGTGGCAAAAGACCAATTATAACCGGGTCAAACGAGAGACACTTTTCCTACCCGTCAAAGGGGGTTTCGGATTATTATCACCAAAGGAGCAAAGTCTTGCGCTCCGCCTCAAAACGCTCTTTCAAATAAAAGAGTGTCAAGAGGGCAAAACTCACAATTCTTACTACTTTTCAAAGTATTGGTTGGCAAGTTCACTTATAAAATTTACTAAACAAAACCAAAGCTGGAACTTTTTAAGACAAAACACTTTTCCAAAACACTGGGACAACAAAATGTCTCAGTACTACAAAACCACAATTGAATATTTAAGCAAATACGGGTCCCTGTTTAACATCCCCCTAAAAACAACAAAAAATATTTATTTAGAAGTGGCAAAAAACAAAAAGACAGTCGTGCCAGCTGAACTATTCTGGAACAGTTCAACAAAAACAAAAATGCCGTGGACCCAGATTTGGAAAACTTTACCTCCCACGCATACGGACCAACACAAAACATCCTCTTTCGTTTTCTTCACAACAGCTTACCTTCCGCTGCCTTGCTTGCCAAAAGCACAAGGCAACAGATTGTTAAAAACAACAAATGTAAAACTTGCGGAAAAATTGAGGACAATCTGCACATTTTTGCCTACTGTCCTCCCTCTGTTACAATATGGGAATACTTTAAACATGTATAAAACTCCTTGACATCCCAAAACAACTTTTCTCCAATAAATTTGATATTTTCGATTGAAACTGCGATTTTTACGGAGAAAAACCCTACCTCGCAGCTGCTTTTGACAATCACTCAAACCATCATGAGTAAAATATGGAACAGCAGATGCCACCATTTGTTTAACAATTCAAAAATTGACCCAATGACAGTGATCAGGATAATTATCAGAAATATCAGAAACATTATTACTTTAAAATATAATTACCATGTCCGTTGAAACACTACGGACATTTTCTGTCAAACTTTTTGTATCAATAACGTTTTTTGTCAAATAGAAAATGGGAACCTGAAACTAAACATATGAGCTGAACAAGTACATTGGCTCATAACAAGAACTAAATGTTTAGTTAAGTGTTTCCTGTTTTCTACAAATATAAGTTCTATAATTACTACAAAAATATTGTTATTTATGATTAGACAAACACTGCCGGCCCTTATATAAATTTTTATTTGTATGTTTCTTTGAAACTTTTAGTAATGTGGTATTTGTGTTGAAGTCCTGTACCTTATTATTATTTTACTTATAAAATTTTTTTTCCTTAACTTAAAATAACTAATTAAACTTAATCAATTTCTTCTAAAAACCTTTTCTTATTCTCGATTTCTCTCCGCACAAAGGCAATAAAATAAAAAAAACAAACAAAAAAACACAAAAAAATATAAAATCTAAAAATACAAAAAAATATAAAATCAAATAACACAAAATAAAAAATAAAAAAAATAAAAAAATTTATAAAACAAAAAATTTATATATATATGAAGTCGGAGAGTTATTTTAATGGAAAAATATTATAAAATATGTCAAAAAAAAGTTAATGGTAAAACTTATGTGAAAAACCCTTTTTATTAATATGAACGATTATTATAAAAAAATATATACATATATATATACATAAAAATAGAAATATTTCTTTAATTGTAAAGAGGATATATTTTTTTTATTATGCAGAAATAGTTTGTAAAAATTGTAAATATTTATTATTTTGAAATAAATTTTATATAAAAAAAAAAAAAAAAAAAAAAAAAGTATATATACTTATTTACTAAGTATATATATATGCTATATACGTAAGTATATATATATATATATATATTTAAGTATATATATAGTATATTTAAATATATTTAAGTATATATATAGTATATTTAAATATACTATATACGTATGTATACTTATACTATATACGTATACTATATTCGTTTGTATATATATACGTTTGTACTATATGTGTATACTATATACGTTTGTATATTTAATTATATCTGTTTTTCTTATATTCCTTATGATAATTTACTATTTGTTAGTGCCTATTTTAGTTATGTATAGGGCAAATTGATAGGATAAAACAATCCAACTGATGATAGGCTAAAGAAATAAATATGACTTTTTCATGCAATCGAAGTGTGGGCAGTGTTGGATCAATTCACTTTTAAAATGAATTCAAATCAAATTCAAATTCACTTAGAATGAAACGAATTGAATTCAAATTCGTTGAAAATAGAATGAATTCAAATTCATTGACACTAATTTCCATTCAATTCAAATTCAAAATTTTTTTATTAATTTATTACATTAACATTAATTTGTGACATAACAGTCAGGAAAATAGAACATAGTCCTGTCAACTTAATAATGCATCGTTCTTACTTTTTAATTCATACTAGTATTAATATCCATTTGATTTTAATAACAACAGTTGTTATTAAAATCAAATGTAAGGTCATTTAGTCTATTACGCCGACTACTTGCGATGATTCCCGCACTTCGGACAAGTCATCATCACCTTTTCGTTTGCCATTCACAACAACACTTTCTTTGTACTTTAAATATGCTTTCTTAACTACTTGATGATTAGCCTAAAGCAATGAAAATTATGAAATGTACTTAAATGCAAAATGGTCATCATAATGACTTAATAATTCATTACAGCTTCATTCTTGTGAACATGCACATGTAGGTCTAGATGAAAGGTTTTATAAAGCAAAATAACTTAGGCTTACAGCATGCATAATTAATAATTTAAAAAAAAAATTATAAAATGCATTCTTTCATTTAATCTTTAAATAAAAGAAAAATAATTTTTTTGTTCATTAATCCGTATTTATTAACACAATACCAGTAAGGTAGTGACTAAAATGATGCAATTTTACTATTATTAACTCACTACTGGTAAATGGTAATGTACATTTGTAATATTTTGTATGTCATGTACAGGTGTATTAAAGTTCCAATACAGTAAATACTTCATATAAGTTGAGATAACCTTTAAGTGCCGCAAAAAATTTGAAGATGCCTTAGTCAATCCTGATAACTCTTTGTTCAGATAACTAACACATCTAGCTGTTACATTGCTGCCTTGTCGTTTAAGAATTTTGAAAAACTTTCCATCAAGAATATATGGCAAATTTTCACTGTCTTCCTCCATTATCCACAAACTCGAAATTCCCACAATGCACTTTGACTTTGTAAACAACGGTCACGTGACAGAACACAAAACAAGTGGAGCAGATTTTATTTATCTTATTTTTCTTTGAACAATGTCTGATTTTAATTTTAAAATGAATGAATTTGAATTTCAATTAACTTTATTTACAAATTCAAACGGGAAATGAATTGAATTAAAATTCAAATTCATCAACAGAAAATTGAATTGAATTCAAATTCGCAATTCAAAGAAATGAATTGAATTCGTGAATTGAATTCATTTGAATTGAATTCACTCCAACACTGAGTGTGGGGCTTGTTCTTATTTAGTGTTTTTTTAGTGGGATAAACACTTAAGCCACATATGAAACGCGCCATCCCATAATGGAGAGTGGTAAGCATATGGTTAGCATGCAAATGCCATACATGGCCCACATTAAAATTTCTTGTTGGTTTGAGATAAAATGTTCAAACCAATTATTTTACAGAGATAATGACAAATTAAAAATTTTTTTTTTCAGATTTAGTAAAAAATCAAATATAATAATAAATAATAATATAAGTTAATTGATTTTTTGTTTTTCTTTTTGTTTAACTTTTCATTTTCCATTTTAACCAATAATTTATTCAACTTTCATTAAACTTTACATTAAATTTTAAGTTATGGAGTATATTGGAGTGCTGAAATATGAAAAAAAGGTTTTAAAAAACTATAATACAAGGACGAGTGAATAAAAAGAAGCAATGGCTTTTACTCAGTAATTGGTTAGTTTTACGTGAATAAACTTCAGCAGTTTTGCACAAATTTTTATTCACGTAAAGTTAAGCAAATCACTCACTAATTGCTCAGCTTTACTTAAATAAAAACTTAAGCCAAACCGGTAAAATATTTACTCACGTAAAGCTGACCAATTACTGAGTAAAAGCAATTGCTTTTTTTTATTCACCCGGCCAATAATTTTTACTTTATTGCATCAAAAATAGCACAATTAATCATAAATAATATTAATACAGGTTAATTATACATAACTTATAAGTTACATAATACATAATTAACATAATATAAATTTCTATTTATATATTATATATGTGTTTGTTAGAGGTATAAACATATTTGAATAAATATCACAAAATAACAAATCAAAATAACAAATGCAAAGTTAGTTGCAAACATTGTCAATATCAACGAAAGTGCACAATTAAAAAAATGTTTAATATACAGCTGGCGTTTTTATTTTTTATTTAACTGTATTTAAAAAATTCGACACTTTTAAGGTCAAAATGTTGATTCGGTAAATCCACTGGTTTCTTTAATGACAATAGTGTTTTGTAATGATTTCCTCCATTTAATGATTGTTTTCGCTGTAAATCTTTTGTAGACTCTAAATATCTTTTTGTTGCAAATATATACAAAAAAAAGCATAATTCCTTTTGAAGATCGACAGCATGTGTAAATTATAGAAAATACTGAATTGAATAATATTTCCCATTCAGATAAAAATGGTTTTGAAATTTGAAAAAAACCTAGTGCATCTGTTACACCAAGAATTAACGCGAGTTTCATTGTAATCATAACAAGGTTTACACGTGACGTTTTCCCCTCACCTAAAGTTTTTTTGTTTGCGCTTTCAAGCTTTGTAATATTAAAAATAGTTAACACCAAGCATAACACTGATGATACTAAAATAATGCAAAGCGGTAAAATGTAAGAAAATATTCTTGCGTAAAATCCACCGATCCAGCAAATATTGTTTGCCCCGTACCCAATATAACCTGTTCCAGTTAAATCAAATGATAAATTAATGGATACAATTAAGGTTGGAACCATCAAAGAAACAAATATTGTTGCGATAAAAGAGTTTGTACGACCGAATGATTTTGGAGCAAACCTCCAAAATTTTAATGCTAGTTCAATAGCCATACACAATACCAAACTGTATCCTCCCAATAAACTCCAATGTAAAATAATTGATATATATTTACATGTATTTTTTTGCTTACTTTCAAAAATTGCAAGAAATATAGAAAAATCAGAAAGTATCAAAAATGCGCAAAGCGTTATTAAATTTAAGTTAGATCGAACTCTCAGTTCTTTAAACAAGATGTACGTTGTAAAAATGAATAGATAGCACCCCATACTAACAAAAAGTAAAATCACAGACAAAAGATTTTCGGCGTTGTCTAAAATGTTTTTATCTTTAAGTTTCAACAACAATGATGATTCACATACTCCTACACCTTTGTTTAATGGTACAAACTCGTTCGTATTGAACCGGTATTCTTTGTTTAAGTACGTGTATGTTAAAGTCTGGTTTTCTATTTTATAGTTGTTGGTCAGATTTCTCAATATACAATTAGATGTTAAATGGAATCGTTTGCATATGCTCATTTTTCTTTTGATTTCATTGTCATGTATTTCAATCCACAAAGCGAGGTCTTCATTTTTAGTTGTTTTGTTTTCCGTCATATAATCGCATGAGCTTGTAAAATTGCCTTCCATATAAGTAAATTCCATTAGCTGCGCACATAACTTGTTTTGTGTAAAGGATCTTCCAATATTAAAGTTATACAATTCTGTATTTAACTGATTATAAACTGACGTAATATAAAATATTGATGAATCAGAAGAAATTGAGTGAAAAATTGTTTTATTATTTGTCAAACTTTTCATTGCAGTAACAGACATGTTACATTGTAACAAAGTTGAATTCGATAAAATTTCATCTTTAATAATAAAACAGACTGCGTCAGGTAAAATATGATACATATAACGTAAAGATTGAAAACTTTTTGAAATGACATAAAAACCGGGCTTTTTGCTAAACAAACAGTTTTCAAAGCTTGCATTATTGATAGCTATAAGAGGTAAATTTTGTTGTAAATCTATGCATTTAGAACCAACCAACGTGTATCCACAACAGCAAGTAATTAAAATACAGGTTTTAGTGACTTCGCTGTAATATAATCCCGTTCCACAGTTAATTTGTATAGTTTGTTTAAAGGACAAAGTATTAGATATAAAGCTTTTATCTGCAATTGGTTTAATTTTTTTTTCTATAGATTCAGTTGAATTTACTATAGTAATGTTACTAAAGTACATAAGAGAGTTGTTAAACATTCCTTTAGTACAGTCAAAAAATTCTGTGGTTTCAGTGCAGTTAAACCATTCTATTTTATTATTTTTAAAAAAAAGATTATAATTGGACCATAGTGTTGTTTTACTAACCCATTCTGGAGTAAAATTAAACCATACTGGAGTAATATTGAACCATACTGTAGAATGGTTAAACCATGATTGAGTATAGTTAAACAATACAGAAGTGTATTTTAGCCATTCTTTTTTATCATTAAACCATGCTGTAGTATAATTAAACCAATTTTTAGTGTAATTAATCCATTCTAAAGTATCATGGAACAATGGAAATGAATAATTTAACCATATTGGAATATAAGAAAGTTGTGAGGTAGTAGTGTTTTGATTTGATACTACCGTGTCACTTTTGAAACATTTAAAACAATCATAATTTTTATAATTCAAGAAAGTTCCTGAGTATGCTTTACACAATGGGTAGTGCTTACTACTTGTTGGGCAGTGCTGGATCACGTGAGAAAAACAACTACTAATATGCTCACTAGTTTCTATTTTTTTATTTAATGACACTGTGCAGTTTTTATATTGTTGAAAAATCCAATTTACTTCGAGTGATGTTACATTTATTTGTATCTTTTTTTGTTGAGGTTCTAACAGACACTCGAAAGAAAGATTTATTGCTATAGGTTCAGCAAAGTTACAACGTGCGCAAGCGGCATTTCTATACATAACATTATCGGAACCTTTTACTGGAACATTGTTTGCATAATGAAACTCATAACTGTTTAAACACAGTTTCACTAATTCTGTTTCTGCGCCATCCTGGCAAGAATGCACCATTAAAATTTCACTACTTTCATGTCCTGAATCAGCGGGTACTGATATAATTTTTTCACATACCATGTCTTTATAGGAACTCGACTTATTAACTAACGTTTCTAGGTAAATGTCCAACGGTAATGGATTGGTGTTGTTCCATAGTTTATCAATGCAGCAAGTTTTTGATGCAAAGCAGGTACCGTCACAATTGCACAACTTTAAATCGGATCCATGGTGATGACAAAGAAACATAGAAGTGTTGATAACACTAATGTTTTCCATATATTGCTTCAATGGAAACAAACTCAATTCTTGCGCAATTAAAGCATGTAATATAGATGCATATAAAAAAAAGGTAAGTGTCATTTTTATAAAAAATGTGTATATAAATTTTCAATATTCTTTGGTGTTGTTATATTCTGCAAGTTGTTGAACAGCTATACTTTTATTGATTGTTTATGTATTTACTTTACAAAAACCTTTTGTTGCATTATTAAATTAAAACATTAAAAAAGTTTTCAAATGCTGTTAATTTTGAAAAAACTTTTTACAATTACTTTATTGAAATTAGCGTAACAAAAGTTTTTTAGTTTTTTTTTAATTGTAACTAAACATTTAATTTTATTCAAAGCAAATATTTTTTAAAATTATTTGAAAGGTATTCAAATCTTTAATAATTTGATTGTTTAAGCCTTTTTTTTTTAGTTTTTTTTGTTTATTTTTTTAAAATTAATTACTTATAAAAATATAAGTAACGTCGGGCGAAATGAAAATCCAAATCACTAAGACGCGTCCAAAACTCAGATAGCAATTTATTTTAATAGTTTAACTACATTTGTGTGTGTGTGTGTGTGTGTGTGTGTGTGTGTGTGTGTGTGTGTGTATATATATATATACACACACACACATATATACATATATATATATATATATATATATATATATATATATATATATAATATATATATATATATATATATATATATATATATATATATATATGTATATGTATATATATATATATATATATATATATATATGTACATATATATATATACATATATATATATATATATATATATATATATATATATATATATATATATATATATATATATATATATACATATATATATATATATATATATATATATATATATATATATATATATATATATATATATATATATATATATATATATATATATATATATATATATATATATATATATATATATATATGTATATATGTATAATATTTCTAAATTTAAAGACGTCTTCATCAGAGAGGACAGAACACCAGCTGAGCAGTCGGAATTTAATAAACTGTTAGCGACCAAAAAGCGTAAAAACTTATCATTTATCATTATCACACTTATCATTCAACATGTTGGTGATGCCGAGATCAATATTGTAGATTAAATAGTGTAGTGTAGTAACAATAGTGTAGATCAACTAGTGGTGAGCCACATTACTATGTGGCACATAACTAGTTTTGTCGGCCCAACTGGGCTCCATATTTTTTGTACTTTGCTAGCGACTTCTTACAAAATGAATATTCTGTACTCAATTTGTAAAAATAACAGGCCAAGCAGTTTTCCATTAATACCAAACGCTACTAGTTTATTCATAAAACGTTTATGCGGTACAGTATCAAGAGCCTTAGCAAGTTCAAGGAAAATTATATCGATCAATTACTTATACCAAAGATGAAGTAATCCATGTAACTCAAAAGATTGACTAACGATTTAAACAAAAGGATTGTGTAACTTTAGCGTGATTTCAGATGGATTATAAAATAAAAATAAAACAAGTGTACAGTTGCTTTTATTTATAAGACAGATTTACTGCGCCCATGTACTTCTCTTAACTATCTGTTGTACGCATGAACAATCTGTTCAATATATATTATAATTATTCAATTAACAATTTTTCTAATACAATCAATTACGTTCTCAGGTATTTATTGCTATTATTGCTATTATTGTTCTCAGGTATTTATTGCTAAACATTACATTTGCAAACATTACATATTTCTATAATAATTTGTTTGATCTTACCTTCCTCAGTTCTTCTCTACTGCTGGGGTAGATATATATTACCAATTACCTGCTTTTTTACTGGAAACCTGTTTTCAAATAATTATCCAACTAACATTTATTCTAATATAAAGTTATATTTTTATTCCCTACGGTTTTAACGGCTGTATGTGTTTCATAAAGTAAACGGACTTTTGGGTCCATTTACGAAATTGTATAAAAAGTACGTAATACTTATCATCAAAGAAGCTCTTTTGTTGCAAGAACGTCTTATAAACGTACTAATCAGGTTACAACACCTCAACTACATCTGGTTAAGACGTCTATTTTAAAAAGCTACTGAGACGCTCTTTGGACGTCTTCGTAGTTTCTTAAAATAGACGTCTTGACAAATTATTATTTGAAATTTTAATTTTTTCAGCATGCATAAGGATTCGTGAACCGAAGTAAAAGTTTGCATGTTATTAGTAAATATATAACCATATTTGTATTACTACAAGTTTGTTAAAGTGATTTGTATAAATAAAAGGTTGTTAAAGCAATTTTGTATAAGTAAATACATAACCATATTTGTTTATGCACTTTTATTTAAATTTGTTCATTTTCAAGTGTTTTTTTTGACAGAAAAAAAATGACAGAAAATTATTTTCTGCCATTTTTGATAAAATGGCAGTAAATAATTTTGAAAAAGTTGAATTTGAAAATTTTAATTTTAATAATCCTTCTGAAGGGAACTTAAATCTATTTTAAGAAACTCAAATGAATATAGTTAAAAAAATCAATTTTTGATCCTTTTAAATTTGAAGTTGAAGAAAAAGATATAAACTCTTTTTCTATATTACATTAAAACATAAAAAGCACCTGTCAAAACCTGAGAAAATTTAAAGATTTTAATTTAAAAAATTACGCGTTTGACGTCATATCACCGTTGGAGATTCAAATTAAATCTTTTGAGTCTTTTTATCAAAGATATTCTTCAAAAAAATAAAATCGTTTTAATTGTATTTGTGTAGCATTGTATTTGTGTAGCATTGTAATTGTATTTGTGGTAAAATTAAAAAATTTCAAGATTTTAACGAAATTAGTATTTTAAAAATAAACAAGGGGAAAAATAAGTTATCTATTCTTGGTGACACAAACTTGAACGCCCTAAGACAAACTTGAACACCCTAACATACCAGAAATTTCCTAAAACAAAAATTTTTTTAGGACGTTAATTACATTAAATGCAATATTTTTCCAATAATTAATAAACCGGCTCGGATTAATAGAACCTCTTAAACTACCATCGGTAATATCTTTGTAAGCAAATAATCAGAAACGTCATTCAAGGCAGGGATTTGCAAGACCGATATCAGTGATCATTTTCCGATATATATTAACGTAAAAAATACTAAAGCTGTTTCTGATGATTAACCAAATTTTTAAGCTATAGCACAAGCTATAATACAAGCAATCTATCCCATAAATTTTAAAGTGAGAGTTGGAGGAATTTTATAAATGTCACAATGCAAATAAGGCGGGTAAATTATTTTTGAATAAGATTTTTAATGACGTCAGACAGAATTTTAAATGACGTATTTAATGAAGTAGTAAAAATAAAAACAATAAAAAACAATCGCTAATCTATGCATTAATAAAATGCTCTAAAACCAAATATAAATTATATCATAATTTTTTTTTATAAAAACACACAATTAATGAAAAAAATTATAAACATACTAATAGTTTTATATCAATCTTCTATAAAATGCTAAAAGTATATGTTACTGTATGTCAAACATATATCACAAAAAAACAATTTACCAAGTGTACTTGGCAATAATACTTGATAAATCAAACTTTTAAACTTGATACTAAAATAAGCAAGATCAGTAATCAATGATTTAATAGGAAATAATAAAACCTAGTTAGTACAAAAAAAAAAATCATAAATACTGATATATATTCTGCCTTAAACAAAAATCTAAAGAGTTTACTATATGTTTTACAAATGTAGGACTTGATCTTGCTTTCAAAGTTACACCAACCTCTAATTCTTTTAAATCCTATCTAAAACGGGGAGATGAAACAAAATTTGATGAAACAAAAATATATATTATCTTGACTTAACATTAAAAAAAAATTGAAACTTTTTCCTCTATAAAAATGAACATTTAAAAAAATTTGAAACGGCTTTTCCTCTATAAACAAGAACAAATAGCCTAGATATAATAACATACCCAGTAATATACTTATTTCAAATGAAAAAGTAGACTGCTGTTTTTAGGGTTTGCAATCCCGGAGGTCTTTCTCAATCCCAGGATTCCGGGATTGAGAAACATCAATCCCGGGATCCCGGGATTGATCCCGGGATTGAAAAACAGATATAGCATCTATATAGTATTAAGTAGAATAAAAACTGTACACTCTTAAGCAAAAAATGTTTTATAAATGATGATGTTTTCACTACATCGTTACATGCATAGAAAAAAAAACATGGCAATTAATGTTAAGAAATTTGATCAGAAACAAGGAAATATATCATGTTTCATGTACTTTGAAATATGACTTCAAGAAGCAAAACGCGTCAAATGTTTCATCGCCCGATATGTTACGAATTTTATTATTAATCAGTCTGGCGGAAAAAAATGCCCGCTGAGTCTCGATACTTGTCGGTTTCACCGTCATTAGAAATAAATAAACTATTTCTAAATAATCACCAAGTGTACCACGATTTTCAAATAATGTGATTTCTTTTTGAATTTTTTATAACAATGTTTCATGTCTAACTGGTTGCATCGGTGATTACGCTCCTTTAACTACACTACCAAGCTCCTTTTCAATACTTAAAGTGTTTTATTCAGTTTCAGGTTCTTCAATAAAATCTGGCATATCAGAATCAACTGATGCTCTTATTAAAGCAGGATTGGAAGCGTTTAATCTTTCCAGAAATTCTACCAACAGTTTTTGACGTTTAAGTAAAGAAGGCACTGTAGTTATTTCTGCATCGACTTCAATTGAGCTTCGACCGTTATGCAAATATTGCAGAAGTATACTTCATATCAGTTCAACGTTCATGTATACGATCCATTAAAGTTGTACACATTTCCTTGCTTGTGTTATTGTCAGCATCATTTAATTTTGTAAGCATAAAATTAATAGCAATGTCAGCTGTAAATAGATTAGGTGTGTATGTCAGCTGTATGTCAGCTGTAAATAGGTTAATGTCAGCTGTAAATAGGTTAAAAATCAATAGCAATGTCAGCTGTAAATAAGTTAGAATCTCGGCGAGAAAGTACTTTAACCATCGCTTTAATAGGAACTAAAGTTGTAATAATGTCTGATAATATTGTCAAACCATCATGCGACAGAGCTATAGAATTATCTTGCGCTGAGTAAATATCAATT